CCCGCGTCCTCCCGCGCGGCCCCGCCGGGCCGCGGCGGGAGGGGACAGCCCCTTCCCACCTCCCCTTCCTCCCGCCGCAGCCCCCGGGCGCGGCGGCCCCGTATCCCGCCCGGGCGGCGCTGTTGGTGGGAGCTGCTCTCGCTCCTTTGTCTGCGGCGCTGGGCCCGGCCGCACCGGGGGAGCGGCGCTGCGCAGGGGCGGCCGCGGACCCTCTGGCCGCAGCGCTGCCCGCCGCTCTGGCCTCCCCCGCGAGGGGTTTCCTTCGGCAGGGACCCCGCTGAGGGCTCAGTCTTCCGTAGGAGTCTGTGGGGTTAATTTCGGACCTCAGACGATGTTTCCCGTAGAGGAAAGAGAGAGGAGAGAGGGGAGAAAAAAAAAAAAAAAAAAGGGTAATAGGAGCTGAAATGCTCTCTGAAGCCTCGGTGTTAAATTCATGATGTTTCCAAAGCTGTTGCTGGTTATTTGTTGCATGGGCTACATGCCAATCTGCTGTGTTTTTTTTTTTTTTTTTTTTTTTTCAACAAACATTTTATTTTTTGTCGTAAGTAAACTGAGACACTCTTTGAAGCTGTGTTCTGAGATTATGCTTGCTTGCTTTACAGGTGAAAAATCCAAAACATGAACAGCAATGTACCGTACCTGTCCTCAAAGCTGACTTGGCTAGACGTGGAGCATAATTCCCGAACAGATCCTCTGGCAAGAAAGTTGTAAATCCTTTGTAATGGCCAACAAGAAAGAGCCTCCTTTTTTCAATGAAGACAACTTGGGACTATTTCACTACAAGCTGCCTTTTTATGAAAATATGGAGCTCTTTATTGAAACGCTTACGGGCACGTGCTTTGAACTGCGAGTGTCTCCCTTTGAAACTGTGATTTCTGTGAAAGCTAAAATTCAAAGACTGGAAGGTACTGTTCTGTCTTTTCTATCAGCTTAAACTTAGCTTAGAGAAGGCCTTAATTAGCAGATGATAATTATGCTAAAATCAAAACAAGTAATTTAAGTGACTTGTTCAGTAGTATCTATAAGCTCATACTCATTTTATGGCCAAGCCTTAATTGGAATTAATGTTTATTTTCTTTTTCATACTACTTTTTATCGCTGCTAACATAAATTTCAATACATCTGTTGTAAACCATTAATTATGTTGACATTATATGGGAAATGCTGTTTTCCGTGTTTAAAAGACTATCTGAGATATAACCTATATATTAACTAGCCAAGGTGCTCTTAGTATAGTCTGTAAACTAGAGTCTTGCTGCAGGTCTACACTGCATCTGTCCAGGCATATTTCAGACTAGGTGCTGTGGCCATTGCTATTTGGGTTAGCCAGTTTAACACAATTTGCTTTGTGACACGGTAGTTGCAAGAACTGCAGTGCAGACAAACCCCAAAGATGGCACGTAGTTACTGATGAAAGTTTCTTTTGGAGAGTGATGTTTTTCTGGCAGATGCCAGTCTGAGCAATGCTTTGTCTAAAAGTGATAAACTTGGTATGTCTTGAAAAATGAAAACATCCTTAGATTTGGGAGAGCAGCCTTAGTGCTAACACAAGGAAAAGCTTTTGGGGTTTTTGTCCTCTCTTGCCTCTTTTCTTCCATGGTGGGAATGACTGCATAGGAAACATATTTTGAAGCATGTATATTTTTGTGTTCCTTTGCTGCTTTGCAGGGTTTCATTCTCTCTTTGTAGGAGTTACTGCTTTGTTACTGTATGAACTGAGAGTACAAGACTTGGTAATTTGCAGAAAATCCTCTTTCCCAGTGTATCTGTGCATGTTTATGGTGCTCCTGTGTGTATGGAAGCTGCTCTTTGGGACGTCACCTGCTTTAGATTTGAATCCTAAAAGTTCCCCCTCTTACAGAACTTGCGCTGATGCGCTGAATCTGGGAGTTGTGCACCGGTAGCCATGCATCAGTCCTGCAACAAATATTGCCATGATATGGGAGACTTTTCACAAAGGTCACGTTCTAAAAGCCTCATGTGCAGAGTTCCCTGCAACATAGCTATATGGCTTTTGTTTCATGCAGACAGGGCAGTAATTGAACACAAATCAGAGAATGTGTCAGGCAGCTCCTGGATTCCAGGTGTGAAACACAAAAAGGAAACTTTCCCTCCCCACTCTCCTTTTCTCTATGGCTGAATATAGTGGCGATGCTAGCTGTATGATATATTTGATGACATACTAACTAAATGAAGTGAAAGGGGGTACAGACAACAGGGTGTATAGAAGTTGTGGACAGTGTAGAGTACAAAATGTTTGTAAATATGTACATATTGAACTATACATATAACCTGTTACTATAGACTAGTTGTCTGGTTCACAAAAGCCTCCTATTTCATAATAAGAACAGCTAGTACTAAAGTTGTAATATCGCTTATTAGGAATTTTGTTCATGTGATGTAATTCTTGTTAAAATAATTAATAGCTTAAATGTCTGTTACGTAGACTTAAGTATATTTCATTAAAACGTGGGAGATGGAGAGTTCACTGGTGCTTATTTTTTGACAAAACTCAATTGGAATACCTTCTTAGTCCAAAACATGAATTAAAAGATCTGTAACGTCCTGGTTAATATGGTATATGTGAAAGGCAAGGTGGTGGGTTTTCTACTGAAGTCAGATTGATCACCTATGCAAGTATGTGAGGGGGGACCATCACACAATGACAAACTCATTTTACATTGTGTTTGAGGCTGGTATTGCATGTAAGAAACTTTCTTTTCAATAAGAAAGTTCCTATTATAATACACAAATTTAAGGAATCAATCACTCAGGTGGATGAAAAAATTGTAAGTAATTTGTGGTTGTAGTATAGCATGGAAAGCAAAAAGATTATTTCTATTCCTGGTTGTGCTGCTGCTTTTCACTTTTTGGTATTATATCATGTCAACTTTTATTAGGTGTGAATTTCTCCCACTTAAGCTACTCTTCTGGCTAGAGAACAAGAGAGCAACAACCTCACCCTGCCAGGTGAATGTACAGGGCCCCTGGGATGCTCATAATCTCCTTGCACTGATTTGTGTGTTGTGTGTGTGAGGATGATAGTATGTACGCACACAAAATGAAAAGTTCTGGGGAAACAATTACTTGTGCCACTTGAGATTTTTGAGAAGTAAATCTAGAATCGTATCAGAAGTTAACAGATTTATTCAGAAGGGCTCAGTCAACAGTATGTCTAATTCTTAGAGACTGATGGTAAAACCAAATCAAGAAGAAGTGATCTTTGTCCATGGCTAGAATATCAATAGCTGTAGGCTGTCTGCACTATAATAATAAAGAATAATATCAGTGACATGTAAGGAATTTTGAATACTTCTGGTATTGTTTGTCATTCTTATTACCTCTTAAATAATCTGGTGTGGAAAGAGTTTTAGACTGCTCTAGGAGGCATTGGTGTCTCACAAACTCTGGATCCTTCTGGTTGGTCTCTGAAAAGATTATGGATGAAACTTTATTGAAGGAGCTATAGTGCATCTAAAACTCCTCTGTAGGTTTGGTTGTAAATAAGAAATCTAATGTGTGCTAGGAGCAGATCCAGACATTTACCCTCAAATATATTGAGTGCACAGGGTATGTGTTTCCAACTTCATATTTGTTAGGATTCTGCCTTGGAGCCACCTAGAATAAATCGACCCTCTACTCAGATCCACTGAATGAGGATCTGCATTGGAGAAGAACTGACTTCCTTTGTCTCTGATAGCAGTGCCATAAAATATTCTCGGTCAGCAGCAGAATGTACTGTTGCCAGCAACACTACATGCTCCCTCAGCTTCACTGTTGTTGGCTGTTGTACCTTCAAGCAGAACTGCCTATTGATGATCACGATAGGACAGCATGTGTTTCAAGGAGGAGACTGAGATGTTTTCATGTGTGAAAGGTGCATAAATAGCAGAATTTTGTTGAAGAGTAAATATCTTTTTTTTTTTTTTTTAAATAAGCACTGCCTCTCCCTTGAGTGATGTATTGTTACTTCCTACATTGCAAAAGTCCTTGTGACTGCAGTGCTGCAGAAGTTTGGGTTTCTTCACTTGGAAACAAAAGTGATTATACTGAATGTAATAGAATGAACGTTGAGTTGGACAATGTACTCCTAGTAGTAATTAATTCATTGATATGTCAAAGAGAACCATAAGTAAAACCTGGAAACACATCTGGTCAGGCATATAGGATTGAGCCTCAAGGGAGGAGGTGCGGCTTGTTTGTTTTATTAATTTTTATTTGTAAGAATTGATTTGCCTGGCATATTAAGGCCTTTGTTCATTTAGCTGTATTAAAAATACGAAAACAAATATGAAACTAGTCATGATATTTTTTTGCAGTGACTGCTTGGAACTGAACTGTGGTCTCTATATGTGCGCATCTTCCTTTTTACCTCTAAACCTGGGAGTTTTCTTGTTCTTCTATTATAGTGAAGGAAGCAAATGAATTTTCAGAGTACCTCTCAGTGCCTTTATTTAGTTCAAGAAAGAACAGATACCATAACCTTTTTGGTATGTGTATGTCCTCTCAGTTCTTAGTGAGAGTTGTTATGTGGTCTGTTTGCATTCGTTGTGTTGCTGCCAGTCTGACCTTCTGCACCTCTTCACTAGCGTAGCCAACTGGTGGGGCAAAATGAACAGGAACAGCCCTGCTCCTATGTAAGGAGGAACAGAAAGTAAACTCCTAAGAGGCTTTCCAGCAGCCGGGTTGATAGAAAGACGAGTGAATTGAGTTTGAACTTTGATGTTGAAATTTTTCTGCTGTTTTAAACGTATTTTATCCTTATTATCACAGAATAAGGGGTGTTGTTCTCGAGTCTGTTTAGGATCAATTAAACTCAATCCATCAATTTCTGCAGTGAGCCTACTTAGCATGCCAGAAAGACAACTCAAGCAAGGAACGTTAGGGGTAGGTCTGGTGAGCTGATGCAGGAGCCCTCCTCTCTTCTTCCTGAAAGGAAGAAGAAAGGCTCCCTGTAATCCAGAAGAGTAAATTTTAGTAGATCAGATTAGGTATTGGAATCGCTCCAGATGTGCTGAAAGTCCCCCAAAAAATCTCTTTGGTCTTCCAAAGCCTTACCTGGGTATCCCATTTCCATATGAACATTGAGCTGCAGCTTGTCGCCCAATTCTTCTCTCTTCCTAGTCATAATTTAGCAGACCATGAGAGTCATGTGCTGCTTATGGAGGGGAATGATAAAGGAGCATCTTGTACTTTTTTTGTTGCCAATTTTATGTACTGATCCTGTACGTAAATTCTTCCAAGAAAGGCTCCCTGTAATCCAGAAGAGGGACGGCTGACGCACGTTTTCTTGCGCATGAACCTATAAAGCACATACTACTTCATCTGTATATAAATACAGAATTCTTAGAAAGCATCTTAAAAAGCAGCTAGTAATAAAGACTTGTCTGTTTTCCATTACAGTGGAGAATAGTATTTTCAACTGTGAATTTCATTAAAAATACTACACTGCAGACTTACTGACTCTTGCCAGCTTGTTCTTACTTTGCTTACACTGCAGACCAGTTATTAAGTAGCAGTCAGGGTAACAGGTATTATTAATATGTAGCAGTCTTGTTAAACGCATTAGAAGAGTGAAGCAAAGTTATCTTGGAAGCTCATAAAAGATGGAGAGGTGAATTGTGGTGAGGACAGGGGGATATTGTCTTCTGCTGTAAAACTTAACGAAAACCACCGACTGTTCCTTCAAAATGCATTCATGGGCATGGGGCATCCACTTAGCCACCAGCTGCTTGGACTCTCGCCAGGATTTGGTGTTCTTTTCTTCCTTGCTGGAGGGGAATTTTGTTCCCAGCCACCTTCCACAGCTAGGAAGGGAGTCATTGACTTGGCCTTTGGTCCTGCCTTGCTGAGCTCTCTCATGGACCTTGGGAAGATGACCCGGTAATGTTTGCCAAGTCGCCTGTAGAGCTCTGGGTTCCCTCTCCCTGGAGGACTCTTACTGTAGCGTTACTGCTTGCTTCCTCTTTTAAGTATCTGAACATGCAAATAGGCAGTAAATGACACAATCTGACATTAAAGTGACCAAGAATAAAGTATAAGATTATTCTGACGTAGTGTTAGGAGAAATACAGGTTTTGTGTCTTAGTCTAAGGAATAGTGTTTAGACCTTTCCTCAAAAATCAGTTCCTGTTTTTTTTTTTTTTTTTTCCCCTGTAGATTTTCACTTAATTACAATATTTGGGGAATACACAGTGAAATACTAAAATTACCTGAATTTTGCTAGATCAAAAATAAGTACTTCTGTCTGATTTATGTTGAAGGGAATATTTCTTTTTCAAATGCAGAAAAGAGGGCTGTTATTTTCCCTTTAGGCTTAATGTTTTCTGGTAGTGAAAGATGAATCTTCTTTTTATGACTCTAGTTTGTAGTCCATTTGAAAATGTGAGAATAGCAGCTTTTTAATAAAAAATGTGTAAAGACTCAGTGTGATACTATCTCATGCTTATTCTCTTTCATGTCCTTAGGCCTATGTTTAAATGAATTGACTAATATAGACAAAAAGAAATAAAAGTGATCGTTAGGTAGATTTTTAATAAGAAACAAATTCTCAATACTTGCTTCTTTTGAATAAAAGATTGTCACATCCTTTTCATTTTTCATTTTTTTAAAAAGTAATTCTTTCAGTGTTTGCTGTACAAAGTTTGCCTAACTAGTATGGTATTGTGTTATACAGCTGAATTTTCCAGGTTCTGGACTAAGCAGTCCAGATAACAACTTTATTTTCGCTTGTCACCACTGCACTACAGCTGCCATCAGCATTTTTTAATGGAACCTTGTCTTTACTGCGAGTAATACGGCATATCAGTCTGGCCTAAATTATTCAGCATGTCTGTAGTCTGAATGTTTTTTCCTGTTTTTCTTTCACCGCACAGAAAGCGCTGAGCTATAAATAAAAGAAAAAAAAATTCCTCCCTGTTCCAGTTACCAGACAAGAGAGTAAGGTTTGCTTCAGGCTTGTTGTACCTTCCGCAAGCTCCTGCTTGCGCCAAAAGATGGAGCTTCACGTTAGGGCACCAGCCAGCCAAAACCCTTGCCTTTGGTCTCAAACGTTTGGGAGGCTGGTGTTCTTGCTGAAGTGTTCCTGGCATTGTCTGACTTCCTTTCTTCTCCTGCTGCCCCCTTCTTTCCTCACCTATTTGTACTCGAGCTTTCCTCAAAAAAAAGTCACCTAAAGCCCTCCATCCAAACTCCATTTTATCTTTTTTATTTTTCTTTTTTTTTGGTTAGGTATTCCTGTTTCTCAGCAGCACTTAATTTGGAATAATATGGAACTGAAGGATGACTACTGTTTGAATGATTATAAGTAAGTATAGAATAAGACTGCCATGAATATTTTTTTAAATCATTGTTAACTAGGCAATAGAAAATGCTACAAAGTTTTATTTATCTATTCCATTTACAGCATTTCAGAAGGCTGCACTCTGAAGTTAGTTCTGGCTATGCGAGGTGGACCTATTAACACTAGAAGAGGTAGGTGTTAAGTCAGTTTAAAATGATGTATTCATGCAACATCTTAGGATTATGAACAGTTTTCTTAGCTAACTATTTTGGCTAGGCAGACTTTAATGCAAAATTAATTGGAAAATATTTGACAAAAAGAGGGGTGATTTTCATCTCTTCTCGGGTGCATCCAGTGTACCATCTTTTTTACTTTTCCTTAGTTTACCAAGTATCTTCGTATATAAAGAATTGCCAAGTCTTGAAATCAGGAATTCTTAACTGGAAAGCACAAATATGTTCATGTAGTTTCATTGTAGAAATACCTTTAAAAATCTGGTTAGTAAGGGTTGGAAATTGCTTTGTTTGGTGATAAGCTCGACTATACAATCCATACTCTACAATCCATAGAAGAAAGAAAGTTTCAAGTGGAGAAGTTCCCTTTGTATTTTCATTTGGAAGGTACTCAGCATATATTTTTGGCTGAGCTTTTCCAACAAAAACTGAGCTGAGCTCCCAGAAGTGGCATCCTGTATGTTAAGGGACCAAGGAAAGGAAAGTGGTAACATGAAGGTGAGGAGAAGCAGCAGTGTTAGAAATTAACTGGATTCCTTAAACCTTCAGGTTTGGTTTTGCATTTTTACCACTTCAGTTGGTGTCCCCTATAGGTAGGACTTAAAAATACCACTGAGCTGTCTCCTAAATGCTATTCCTAATGTCATAATTGGGTCTTCTATAGCTTTCCTGGATGGGTTGGTAGATGCTACTATGTTTAAGTCTCTTACATGCTTCAGAAATGCTGAGAGTGGGAGATAATTCAGGATAGCTCTGGAATGGATTTTAGTGTCTGATCGGCTGAATGAATGGGGATTCTTAGAATACAGGGTATTAGAAAAGCAGACCCATAGTTATCAGCATCTAGATATCTTTATATACAAGGATTTCTTTTAACTTCTTGAATTAATTTGCTGCTAAAGCACACTAGGAAGCATAGAGATGTAAATGCTTAGAGATGAACTTCAGATGGATCTTTTATATATGCATATTTAAGCATCTAACTTGGATTTAGAGAATGCTACTTACAGAGCAGCAATAATGAAAGAAGCTCTTTCCAGTTGAGTCTTTGATTGCTGTTGTCTTCCGGAAGACTGGCATATTGGTGTGACACTTGTTACAAAGGTAGCTTGTTGCAGTTACCTTTAAACATAGTAAAAAACTTCTTTTTTTTTTTCCCTTGGGAGAGCTAGAAATACAAGCCTTTAAAGTTATAATAATAATTTGTTTTTGTTTTCTTTTCCCCTTTGTAGTTCCTGTGGAAGACCCAATTAGGGAAATGGCTGAATATATGGATCCCAGTAGAGATGAGATCTGGGAGAAGGGGCCATCCAACAAACAAGTTACCTTTCTAGTATATCGAGAGGGAGATCAGCTGAACTTCTTCCGTGTGGTAGACCGGGGAGATGGTACTTTAACGCCATTGTCTGAGTCTTTGAGGTAAAGTTGGTTTTATACTTTTCTTCAAAATGAGAACACTGTATAATTTTCAGCTAATAAATGTTGACTTTGCCAAAAGAACATCTGGAAGAATGGTTTTTGAAGGACTACCAAAGTGCTGTCGCTGAGTGACCTAGGTATATACAGTATTTATTTTGACTGGCATCTGTCACTGTGCATGTCTTTTTATAAAGTGAGATAAAAGTGACTTAGTTCCTTGGGGCAATTCTTGCTATCCCAGGCCATTCTCAAAGGAAACATTTTCCAAGAGAACTAGTTTGGCAATAAGGATGTTAACTTTTTTTTTCGTTAAATACTTTTTTCATCCTAACGTACTTGTTTAGGTTTATAAGCATTTATTTCTTCCCAAGCCAAGCTTGCTTTTTCATATAGCAAAATGTAGTCTGGGTATTTTTTTTAAAGCTACTGCAAGTGCTAAAAATATTACAAATTTATCAGGCTGCAGGTTTTGTGTAGACAAAACTTTCTCTCTGAAAAACTTGATATTTATACAATTGCTAGGAAAGGAGTTTTGCCATTCTAAGGACTAGCTGCTTTTTCCCTAAGACTGAGGCTTGTACTGTTTTAAATAGTTACTCTTGTTCCTGTTTGCAAATTGAAAACAAGGGCTTTCCAGGAGGTGTATATTTGGTAGATTTTTTAGTTAAACCCTGTGCCTTGCTGTAGGGATTAGTGTACAGGCTATTTTTTGACCTCCTCCCTCACCAAAGCGCTCAGCAGTAGAGTTGATTTATAGTTAACATCCTAATGCAAGTAATATTTGCAGTCTATTGAAATACCATGGTTGAGTTCTGAAACAGGGGCTAGAAGGGCTAGTATTCAGTATGCAATTACTGTGGGGAAAGAGGAGGAAAGCTACAAGTATGTTAGGTTTGTTAATTTATTTTTCAGCACCTAAGCTCTTTTACAGTAAATAATCACATATGGTATTGAAATAGGGTGGGGGGGAGTAACAATTATGGGTAGAACTGAGCACCTAGACAGGTTTCTGAGAAGAGGAACTGACAAAGGAAGTTCCTGTTTTCAATAGTATCCAACTGGGCCAAATTGCTCATTTGTTCCTTTAAACTGAAAAAAAAAAATCCTCAAATCAATCCAAAGAGCTAAAACTGAGGATGTTACATTGCAGAAGGTTGGCAGAAGGAGCTTGAACTTTAATTGGTCAGTATAGTAGTCTCTGTGGTATCTGCTCAGCTGTTCAAATTCTTAGGTCTATTTGGTTTCATTTGCATTTTAAATGACCATGGACAATTGTCTAAAACTTGTAATATTTCTCAGTTAGGTACTCATAGTATAAGGACATTTTGGGAAGCCTTCAAAGTGCAAGATGTATGGAAAAATCAATGCATCTTCTCCTGAAATGTCATCATTGTTAAGAAGATCCAGTTAGACTGGAAGCCCACCAGCTTGAGTGTACTCAGCTTGGACCACATCTCTTCCTCCATATTCTCTGTGGGAGTTCAGTTACAGGCTCTTCTACTAGAGCAGGGATTAGCATCGATGGGCAGACACTGCCCATCAGTGCTCAAATTCCCACAAATTCTTTTATTTTTATTGCTACTTAAAAGAAAACTTATGGGTCAAACTAGGGGAATGGGGAATGGGGAATGAAAAAAACCTGACGAAGGTAACAGAGAATGGAGGCAAGTCAGACCTTTCCAGTTGAACTTTATACAGAGACTATGAATCACTCTCAAGATACCAGTGTTTTCCACACTGACAATTACAAGTACTTATAGGTGTGGGTTTACTGCTGACTGAGCAGTTTGAGGCACTCATTTTATTTTTTTGTGTTTTGTGTTGCTCCAATATGGAGCAGAATTCAGTGAGCTCAGTTTAGAAATGGGCCATTTGCTGCATTTTGTTTTATGACTGTAGACCACTATTTTGTCTGTGGTTAAGTTAACAGTTAAAACATGACAAAGTGTAAATGTGTAGCATGATTATTCTCTCCGTATTAAAAGAAAATTGGGAAACCGGCAGGCACGAGCAACAAGACATTGTTTCGACAAGCTACTGATCATCTTTCTAGTGTGCATTTTACAAGCAAGTTTTTAGGAATGTTGACAACTCTGGACAAAGTCAGTTTGAAATCTGCTCTTCGAAAAGCTGAAAGTGTCATCATGAACAAAGTTCCCTGTCTAATCTTCATGACCTCATAATCACATTCCGGTTAAAACAAACTTGTATTACTCCATTTTTGAAATTCTAAGGGAAGGGGGTGCAAAGAACTGTTTTCAGTTGATTATGACTTTTAAGTATTTGCAGAGTTAAAATTCTAAAGTGATTCTCTAGCATTGAATCTTGACCAGGAGAGATGTAATGTAGTTGCTGGCTGCCCCATACAGAGCTGTTCAGTTTCTGGTAAGAAACTATATGACTACTATGCAGTGTTGCTTTCAATTTGGTGCCATTTTATTCTTAAAGATCTGTGTCCCAGCTGTGCTGCCTTCTGAGCTTTGCTACATTTTAAGAAACAGGTTTGGAGAGTTAGGGGCATAAAAATAATAGCCCTTAACTAAGGGCAGCAGAGCATTTCCAAAAGCCAGCTAAGGTGCCAGCTTTAATTTGCAGTCACAGAGTTGCGAACATAGGATTTTATATACTTTGTTTTAATTACAGGAGGTTTAGTTTTATATGCCTTTTGAGGAACTGACTAACTTGTGGCATGTAGTTTTTTCTTTGTCTCTTTTAGAAAGAAGAAACTTCCCTTAAATCTTAAGACATTTGCATGAACAAAAGGAAATTGCCTAATGACTGTCACAATTTCTAGGTGCTGACAGCAAAATGGTAGAATTAAAACGCTTTTTAAAATGTGCTATACAGAGTGTTAAAAATTCTTCAATTTATAGAGAGTTGGATACTCTTAAGGGTTTTTTCATTTCACTGTCAAATGTTAATTTGTGTTACTGAATAATGCTAGATGGGAAAAACAAGTCGTATATTGAATTTAAAACATTGTCTTTTTCCATTCTGTATTTTAACAGAATGCAAAAACTCAATATGATACTATAAATTTTTAGTGATTAAGTTAAAATATTTTGTCTTTGAATTTGTTCATTTTTTCCGAATGTTGGGACTCTTTGGAAATCTAAACTGATCATTTTTTTATTTTGTTTTGTTTTATTTTGAAAAGGAGAAATAGAATATCACATCCACATGGGTGACCCCTCCATTTCCATTTATGGTGAGAACACCCCTCAGGATGGATAGAAATTTGGACTTTCCTTCCATGCCAGTGTCTGGTTAATTGGAAAACTGATCAGCTTGTTGTCTGAGTCACACTGTTAACAGCTTTGGCCATATCTTCAGGAGACTCTTGTGGAACTGGATATTGCCTCTGTGGGGAAAATATATAGTGAGTGTAAACCAACTGTATATGGTATAACAACTTCCTGAAAGTTGGGCTATGTTCCGATTTCAGCATCATCGCTTTGTGAGCACTCTAATAAGGAATATTTATGTTCTAAAATAAATGGATATGAAATGTCTTGCATACAGTTTTACATAATGCTTTGTCAACAGATCAACTACGGATTTGGCTTTCTAGTTGTGAGAATACTCTACATTGAAAATAGAATTAAATGACTTGATCAGAGAATGAAAAGCTTTCTTTTTAATTTTCAGTGGTGGATCAGTTTATAACTTGTATGCTGATGATGAAGATGAAACCGAGGCATCACCTTCTGGACAACAGATTATTGAAAATTCAATTACTATGAATAAAATGAAGCTGCTCAAGGCAAAGATGGAGAACATGAATCTGAGTAAAAAGGTGAAGCTGTGGGTTCTATTCTTCTATTATTAAATGACTTTAATTTTCATAGTAGTGATGTTGCTAGAAAGCAGATCAGTTAGTTTTTGATTGCCCTCTTAGAATATGGAATGGTTAAGGATACATGATTTTTATTATCTGTCGTTTAACACTATATAAATTTTTCGTGCTATGGGACACTGACTTTACTTGGATCTTTGAATCTTCAGTATTCAAAGAATTCAGTAGAGGTAATGGATTTTTTTTTTGTCTTCCGATGCTTTAAGTTGCATTGTTGTGCAATGCTGATCGGGTGAAGTCAGTAAGATGCTCTTAAATGACACTTTATTCGAGAGGAATTGTAACTAGAAAACCTATGAACTTAAATAGAAGAATGAGATCACATAATGGATGAAGAATTAGTCTGGTGTTCAGGAGATCTGGTTTAAATGTAGTCTCAGAGATTTATTAAGACTGTTTAATGCCTGTGTCCTGCTTCCCATGCCCATGTGTAAAGCAAAGATGATAGCGCTTCCTTTCTTTATCATTGTCTTGTCCGAGACAGTTCTTCTAAATAACTTTGTCATTCTGCCTTCCCTTTCCCTTTGATATGTGTCTGTTTACTAAAAAGCTTTTTTCGATGATCAGCTTTGATTTTTAGTAGTCAGGGTGAAGTTTTCATAGCAAGTATCAGATGAAGGAGTAGAATGAATGATTTGATGGTGTCTTCTAGCTTCAGCTTTCTGAAATGCTGGTACTGTCTTTGCAGTCAGGTCTTTGAGTAAGACTGTAGTGAAAATACTGTTGTTGTTGTTGTTTTGTTTTTTTAATAGCCTAAGAAAACCGTCAAGGTGAAACCTCGTCCTCCAGTGGCTCCTCGACCATCTAGTAGCTCAGTGGCTGCTGCTGCTCGTCACAGGTTTTTAAGAGTGCTCCCCCACATCGGACAGTCCTGCCTACCTCCTCCTGGGAATTCGTATCCTTCAGAATCTTCCCAAAATGCACTTTCTGCTTTGGCTACCTTGGCCACTGCTGGTAGAGCAATGTCATCCACAACCAATGACTTTCTAAAGGAGGATGACACCTGGCAGAGCACCTCTTGGTCTCAGTCAGTTAGTAGCATTAGGTTACCACCGAAAATATCTCGTGTTGAACTGGAAAATGCAAAACTACCAACAAGTGGTATTTTGACTCCTCCTTCCTCTCTGCGTACAAGTTCAGAAAAGTCATCTGAAAATGTGGCCTCTCCAAATGAGAGGGATTCTATTCTATATGCAAATCTAACAAATTTAGAACCATATGGAACAGAAGAAAAACTTCCACCTGAAACTGATGCTTTTGCTTTGTTAACAGAAGCAAGCACCACTGAACAGTATAGTGAGATATATGACATAGGAAAGGTGAACCCAGAACTTGGACTGACTGATAGGGATGAAGACTCTAAGGTTGTAGAGCAACAGAGAAAACCTGTTAGCAAAGTGCTGAGCACTGCTGCAATGGAGGCTGGACTTCTCAGTACTCATGAATTAAGTCCCCAGAAGAATACGCTTCTGACACCTCTCCAGTATTCAGCACAGGTGGCACATCACAGTCCTCTGAAACCACAACCACAAACCAAATGTTTTGAGGTTGGGAAAATGAGATCTGCGGCCTCTCCAAACATGCTCCGATCTTTGGAAGTCCACAGCATAGCGGATTCTTCCTTTTCTAGGACTACTAGATTTCGTGGCATGAAAGTAGATTCACTTGGCAAAAGGCCTGATGTAATTTCTAACGCAGAGCCTAGGGACATTACAGATGTGGCCCACAAAGCATCCAAAGAACCCACAAATTCTGTAAATAACTTGGGATTTCTAACTTCGCTGTCCCGAAGTGCAAGCAGGGAAAACTTACAGAGTTCCTGTGGGACAGGCAGGTTTCGGACTTCTGGTATTGCACTGCCTACAAACCTTCAGTGTTTTCAGGAAGAAAGCTTTAGGAAAATGGCTCCCCCAAATGAAGCTGCTGAATACATTCTAGTGAGTACTAACTTTCAAAGAAATTGGAGTTTTCCTGTTTTTTTCTGGTCCTGGCATTGTGAAAATCTTATGTTTCTGGTGTTTGTCTCTTTACGGGAAGGCATTTGGGGTGAGGGGCATGCTTAAACCCCTTGTTGTTTGAAACTGTTTTTCTAAGTTGCTCTTGGTGTCTTGACTGCATATTTTTACACATGGGTTCTGGAAACATTTTCTAAGAATTAATGTCATTAGTTTACAAACAAAATTATTAGTTTTGGTAAAGATGCGAGTAGAATTATGAGTTTGAAATGCCATCTTGCTCCATCTGCTCGTTACTTGTCACTTCTTCTGAAGTTTGCACTGTGACTGGCACTGTATGTGCCTACCTTCAGACTTCTAATATAATATGATGTTGTGTTGATACGTGCTTAGTGTGGGGAGACTGTTAAATAGTTATTTTGAGCATAACTCTATACTGTTGAACTTTACTTTCTTGTACAAAAGTCTTGAACTCTCTTCATAGGTACATTGACTGATAAAACACTGGTTTCAACCAAGCCGATATCAGTCTGATCCTATACTTGATGTCCTATATTTAATTCCTATCTACTAGTAACTTTACTGTGGAAATTTTCTTTTTATTTATTTTTTTAGTCTTCACATGGGCTTGGAATGAATGGAAGTGTTGCAGCTGTAGGGAAAAGAATAGGTAAGTAATGTAACGTAATTTATGATGATTCTTAAATCCTGATTTTTCAGATATACAGAGAGCAAGAATCATATCTCTGTAAGGCATATGCCTTTGGAAATGCTTGTTGTACAACACTTCAATAACACAATATTTACCTTTAATAGCTTAAGCCATTCGTAAATATACAGATTTCATCCCCATCTTAGGTAAACTTTACTGTGATTCTCTCCTAGCTTTTATTATTAGTAGTTACTGAATCCTACATGTCATCCATGGGGATAAACATGACCTTCTACTCTGAAGTTTCCATAAGATGAGTTCTGCAAATACTTGGTGTATGCAGAAATGAGAGAGACTGCTTTCATTAGTAATATTGTCTTTAGGTCTGAAGTTTGAGCATAAAGAACATGGCAAAATGAAAGGGAGGATGCAGCAAAGGCTGCAATGATGAAGATAAGGAAAAAATTGAAACTGTATCAGTAGTTTGGGGGGCACATATTGTTCTTCCTGCCCTGAGTGCTTCATGCTTGACATCAACTGAAAATCTGTCTTGTGCTTGAACATGAAGGTTTTTCTTTATGTGGCAATTCTTTTTTCAAAAAAGTAAACTGTCTCGATGAGTATTTCTAAAACTCTTAATCCATGTAAGTTGCTTTATATTAGGAGAAGTGCAGAAGAGCATTGCCAGATAATGTTGTTTGGAATGGTTGAAGTATTGCTGGTTTGGTAGTTTTCAGAGCCAAAGCCTAAGTCCAAAGGCTAAGGCTTGTAGACAGTTCCAGGAGTTCAGGCTTACACAGCAGTTACTGAAAACAGTGACCCAAAACATCTGCTCAGGCTTCTCAACATGGTTAACCTGCTTTCTCCTTTACACCTTTGACTTGTAGTTTGCAGGGGTTCTCCCTGCCTGACTTTAGGAAAGAGATGGACACATATTCCAGGATCTTAAGATCCAGATAGAGAATCAGCTAGATCTTCCTCATTTAGCAACTGCAGAAAAATTGATGCTATTGTAATGGCTTAAGACCAAAAACTGCTAAAATATTGGCCTTCCTTTCACAGCTGAGGGTGCAATTTTGATTTAACAACCAGTCTTAATGAGCAGGTAGGTCTGTACCTCCTCCATGGGAAATGAGATTTTTACCATAATAGCCCTGTCTGTCTTGTGGGAAAGCCCACCCTTCTATAACCTCCTTCATTTCTGTGGTATTTAGGTTAGACAAAAGCGTATTTTCCTAAAAGTTCTAGGCATTAGAGTGACAAAATAGATATTGTGCAGGCTTTGGGCAGAAAGATAATGGTCTCTTGTATAGCTGGCCAAAGGAGAAATGTTGTGTTGTCAGAGACTTAGATTTATTTATAATTACTTTCTTTTATAATTTCTTTAGTGACCGTAAATGTGAGAACAGATGTGTTATATGCTTAGGTATGGCCCATTATGGGGACTGCCTTCAGCCTCTGTCTTCCTCACAACTTACAGCAGCTGATGCTTTGGGAATAGTGTCCCTTTAGATGATGAATTGGTAGCATGGCCATACACTGTCTGGAAGTTTCCGTGCTGGATGGCAGTGGGATCACAGCACTGATCAGTAGTGATGGCTGTGATGTGCAGTGACTGGTGTTACTACAGAATGTAGCCTGCTGTATATCAGCCACAAAATGACTGTTGGGACCAACAGCTTGTTGGGCGAAGAATTCTTCTCGACTTGGATCATTTTTCTGGCTGCATCCTGACAATATAGTTTAGAAGCACTGAAGAAAACATTTGAGAGTTAATGTTGCTTATTTTCAGTATCTTAAGATGTGGCAAGGATGAATGATCAAGTTGTGGGCCAAGACCTGCTTTGTACAGAAGGAGGAAATGTGCTTTACATGGCTCTCCCTTTATCTTTAAAGGACAAGAATTATGGGGCCAAAAAAAAAGAAATTAATTTTTTGCCAAGTACAGAACCCTCATGAAATCCGCAAAGTGCAGTATGAAGCCACACGGCTAAATAGAGGCCTGTAGTCTAATAGTGTGCTTTTTGTGCGTTACGGATGCTAACAAAATTATAAAAGGTTTTTTTATTTATTTGACCTTCTTCAGTTACTAGTTTTGAATATATTAGATACTAGGTACTTCAAGGTTCTATTGACTTTTCTGGAAAGCCAAGGTGTGCACCTCTTTCCCAATCATGTTATGTATTTTTGTTTTGCATTATTGAAGAACATTAGAAAACGTTTCTTGTTATCTTCTGTAAATCCTCGCTAGTATGAATTTTTAGCAGATGTCAAAAATAATGTATCCAAATCCCATATTTTGCTGGCTTTTCCAAAGGTGTTGGTCTTGAGGTGCTTTTTTATTTTTGCTTTGAGTTTTGTTTGTTTTGGTTTCCCTCTTTAGGTCTGGGGGACCCACCTGAGGCATCCTAAGAAATGCAAAATGAATTTGAATTTCAAAAGATTAACATTTAACTAGTTCATGGTCAGAATAAATGAAATGTTTTTGCTGTTTCTACCTTTAAAAGCAGGTGAAACAACCCATCTTCCACCTGTGAATGGCTCAATTCAAGCAAAAAAGAAAATTACAAAGCATTGCTTTCTTTGTGGCAAGAAAACTGGATTGGCAACCAGCTATGAGTGCAGGTAGGCTGTGTATGTGACCAACCGTTGTTGAAAATGGAGAGCTGGGTTAACCAGGTTTTCTGTGCTGCACGGTATTCCTTGAGCGTAGCAAATTGAAAAGTAGCTTTCAGGAAAAAAAATGAAAATTGTTTGTATTTTACAGTTCAGCAAAACTAAGATAAACTAAAATCACAATCAGAAACGTTGTACCTGTTTCTCTGTTGAGGTATGCATTGTGCCAGAAAAAAAAATCCAGAAATGTGAAGTGCCAGGAAATAGTGAAGATCTTTTTTTTTAAAAGAAAAAAAAAAAAAAAGAAAAAGAGGAGGGAGAGATGTAATATTAGAAGATTAATGTGGGGATGCAAGTATTGTTGAGAAGCTGCACATTGTAAATCTGTAGAAACTTCAGGAAAACTGTGGCATTTTTTAAGAAAAGTATGTCAGATTTGACCCTGTTACTGCTTGTCTGCATAGTTTATGATTGCTTCTTATGAGCTTTTATTTGACAATTTATTGATCAATGTGCTTCCGTTCTTGTGAAAATTCAGTCGCCCTTGATCTCCTAGAGGAAAGCAGAGCCCTAGTTTACTGTCCCCCACGTCATGGCTTTCTGACAGCCTGCTGTCCTTGAGACTTGCTCCTGCTAGTGGTCACTGGAGATTTAAAAGAAACAAAGCAAAAAATACTTTCCCTTCTCAAAGTATGATGTTTCCACAGCATGTTCTTGTTCCTGGTATCGTTTCTCATGAGCTAGTGAAAGTTGGGAGCTACTGCACTGAGAGCTGTGTTTGAAACTGGTCTGGTTTAATGTCAATCAGCAGCAGAATTTAACAAGACTTCTGCTGTTGGGGAATTGTGATGGAGAGTTGCCAGGTGAGGAACCTCCTCACCTCCTTACTGATCTTTTTTTTGGTAACAATTTTGGACATTACATACCTCTCTACTGAGCAAATAGCTGTGAGGTTTTTCTAAAAATAAACCAGATTTCTTGTGTTTAAAAAAGAAGCACAGAAAAGAGGGAAAATCACACATCTCCAAGAATAACATTGTTCTAGTTTCAAAAGGAGCAGCAATATAACCTTTTACTAAAATGTAACATGAATCAAGTAAGAAATACCATTGTAAGAGAGAGGCAACAACTACAGGACCAAGAATCAAAGCAAAGCAGATCTGTTGACAGATACACAAGCCTCAGGAACAGCCGCAAAGTTTAATGAACACAGATAGATAAATCGAGGACTATTATTGTTTATAATGTGACAGAAATTTGGTTGAGCGGTTGTCAGCCTGTTGGAAGAGATTTCTGATTGAGTTATGCCATTACTTTACTGGCAAGAAGCATCTTTGTCAAATGACTTCAGGCAGCAGGACACTAACACTGGTTTCCTCTTCAAGCACTTGTTCAGATCAGGTACAATGTATATATTGTCCTTTGTCTTGTATTTGTGATGAAACGTCAAACTACAAGGCAAAATTAAGATTATAATTTGCTGAATTTGGAATTGATAGTGGAGGGATGCACTGTTACCAGTTATGGAAAACAACAGTCACGTTTCCTACAATCAGTTCATCTGTCTTCGCAGCTGATTAAATCTGTAACTACAGATTTAATTTGATTACAGATTACAGATTAATTAGAGTTTATTTCAGGTAGAAATTGGTGCTGAACTGAACATCTGCCTTGACGCTGTAAATGATGTGGCTTTTTTTTAATTCAAATGCATCGTGTGGATTTCACCCAATACTATTACTTTAGATGTGTGTATTTATGCACTGAATTCTGCTTGCTGATCTTTGATCTGGAGAGGGGGAAAGGGAAAAAAAAGTCCAACAACAAAGCAAGCCCAGGCTTTTGTAACAGTTCGTAATCCCAGTTAACTGATTCCAGGGACACCAGTCTTGCTTGACTTCCAAGCTGAAGGGAGTGTTGGGTCAGAACTGTAGCAGTGAGTGACAAAAATGTCATAGTGATTTCCTAACAATTGATGTTATCAGTCGAGGATGATTAGAATCCAAACAGTTACGTTAAATAAACAAGATGTGATTAAGCCAAAGGGCTCCCAGCATCTCGGAGAAATAAAAACCTGTAACATCTAATGTTCTTGATTCTTCAGATGTGGAAACAACTTCTGTGCGACTCACCGCTATGCAGAGACTCACGCCTGCACCTACGACTATAAGAGTGCAGGGCGAAGGTATTTGCAGGACACCAATCCCGTCGTTAGTGCACCAAAGCTTCCCAAAATCTAACTTGGTTGTGCTGCATGTGGCCGTTCTGCCATTGAAGAATTGTATTGCATTCAGAGAAGCACTTGCTTAAACTGCATAATTTTGCCCTGCTCCATATCTAAAGATTTGACGAGTAACAAAAGCACATGAGGACGCATCCTATTGAAGAATAATGTGAACACTACTGCAGTTAACACTTTTCTTTAGTGAATGAAAAGCTAAAGATAGTTTTTAAAAATTGACACTATGATTTAACTGTTACTGCACGTCTTGTGTTAAGTGTTTTATATTTGGAAAGCTATTTCACTAGACAAGTCTTTGAAAGATGCACTTTACTAACTTTATTTACTGTAACCAGACTTGAGGGGGTGCTGTAATGAGGGTGTCATGTAATGTCTTCTGTACTCTTGCGTTTTGTCCATTGCGTGGGATTTTTAAGTTATTTCGCTAGAAAGATTCTCTTCCCTCCCTTTTCTTCAAACAGCCTGCTGAGATCTTCAAGGGGTGCAGCATTCTGTCCCTCTGTTCCATTCAGATTGGTATCCGTATACTGTGTATCCATTCTGAAAATGACATATCATGTTAATCACACTTTCTTAAAATGATACTGTTTATAGGCAAGTTTTTTTAAATAGAAAATTTCCCCTTTGTTGCCATTAAATATAAGGAACAATTTATTTTAACTTTTTTTGTAATCCTAGATTTTTTAAGACTTCACAATTTGGTTTGTTAAGATGTTGAATGCTGTTACTGGAGGAAATTCTAATAAATATTAAATTTTATTCTGGTTTATGCTCTTATAATAAATGCACAAAATAACTCTTCCTATTTTACAGCATGCTTCTCAATAAGATTTGGATTTAGTTACTCGGAGAGGGTGGGGGCTTGGGACTTTTGTCTTTCAAAAGTATTGACTCATCTCTGCTCCTCCTGAAGCCAGTGGTAAAACACCCCCTGACTTCATTAGGAGCATTAGGAGATGTGTGTTCACCCACTGGCACTCCAGGTGCTACTGTACAAGAGCAGCTCAGTACTTTCCTGGGACAGTGCGAAGGCGCATGTAGCTGTGGAGGAAAAATGGTTGAAATCTTTTAATCCCTTACACATACAAAGCCTCCAGAGATAATATGCTCCCTGAGGCCTTCTGTTCTGAATACACTTTAAAACAAAACTCTGCATTGCATTCAAACAGTTAAATGCTGTCTTATTTCTAAATTGAATACCTGGCTGTGACTTATCCCTTTTTTGCCAACTTCCTCAACCACTGTGTTGGTTGTGGTATTAAAGTGTTGTATGCTGCATTTTAACCAAAGAGTAGCAGCTGGTGGGCATGGCAGTTAAAAGTTGGGCTAATAAAAGGAAGAGGATAAATGAAAGATAAAGTAGTAACTTCAAGAATTCTAATCCTTGGAGAATTCCTTTTTGTGTAAGCCACTTGCCTTTTCTTAAATCCCTTGGGAATTTCAGTCATGACCCTAATGCATATAGTTTTTACTATATCTCCTATACAGGTGACAATATCCGATGCCAAAGGAAAAGAATAAGAAACAGGGCAAACGTGGCAATGATTTTCCAGCCACTAGTGATTTGAGATTCATCTGCTTTCTAAGCTAGAGGTATTGGTCTCTTTGAAGACAAAGTAGGCTCTGACAGGAAGTGTAATTAAAATAACATAGGCTCTCTTAGCTTAATATCATTTTGTTAAGAATGAGTGACTGGAAATTATTTTGCAGTGCATTGGAGTGATTATAAAATCTTTACGAAAGCTGCATAACTGAGATGTGTGTCAGAAAGCATCCAAGTCAAATCTCCAGTTGGTTTGTAGCTTTCCCTTTCTGTGTATGTATAATTCTACTCTGAAGTATGCAACCATTTTTCTCAGAGAACACAGTATAGTAATCTAACTTCTATGCATGTAGCTTATTACCTTTATTATACTTCATTTTGATTATACTTGATACAGGTATTATGCATAAATCTTCAGATTTTGATCTGATCTCTAGTATTCTGACAGATACTGTTATTTTCAGAAAGTAGAATAGCCCTAAGAGCACTTAAGTTTGTAATTAATAGTTGTTAATTTATGTGCTAGTAGATTTTGACAAATCCTGTGTTAGACTGTGCTATGGGTTAATTACTGTTTACTATGTAAACTCACCTTGATGATTTGGTTTTTTAAGTAGTAGTCAGTGCTTTGTGGTGCTATGCATCTGCTGTAGACAAATCTTTAGCTTTTGTTCATTTGTTCACATAATTAGATTGTATCATAAAGCATTTACATAGTGGAAGTTTGACAGTGACGTGGTGTGCTCTTCTGCTTCCCTTTTGTATATTCTTTTTTTTTTGTTATTGTTATTTTTGTTTTTTCAAATGCTGTGTGTGGAGCTGTGAGGAGGTTTAACCAGGCTGATCTGCTGTTGAATGATCTCCAGGATTCTGGTGTAAAGTCGAAAAGCTCCGCGCAGGTTTCAGAAGTGCTCTTGGATCTTGAGTGAAAGATTCCCTTTCTCTGAACCTTTAGAAGCCAGTGGTGACAAAACCTGTGTGCTTGCCATGCCCATATCTGCCCAGCTTGCAGCCCTGTGCGGCGTAAGTGCACTAATGCTTTATATTAGTAAATTTAACTAGGAGATAAGGAGGTTAAAAATTATTTAAAACAAAAGAAAAAGTATTTCTGTCTTTTTTAGACATTGTGATAAATACCGATTTTTAATATTTTTCTGTATACTTTGAACTTCCATAATAGGGGACACAGTCTCCTGGATGTGACCTGTGGATTAGAGCTGCTTGTGCGTGCAGGGAGGTGCTCGTACTACTGCCAAGTCATGTTTTTCCAGCTTTTGCATGACTCGAGTTCATCTTGACCTGCCTTTGGGATTTTTTCTGGGGTCTCTGTCAGTCCTGAGCAGCTCTCTGCCCCTGTGAGGACATCTGTGTGACGAGGAAAGCCAAGTGCAGCCGTGGGACAGCTCTGTGAGCCTGCGCTGTTCCGATTGCTGGAGCTTTTGCCCTGGTTTTATTTGAGGGTAGTCTTGCAATGTTTGCCATGGTTGAAGTGCTGGGGAAAAAAGAATGCGAAAAAGTAATTTCCTTTTTGTAGATATTGGCATGTTTAAAGATGGTTATTTAAAAAAGTGGATCTGCTTAATGCAGAAATGAACTTAGGCTGTTTCTTGTGAAGTTGGTATGTTAGAGTATCACAGCCACGGGGTTTCTGTGAGCAGCAGCACTTTGTTTTTAATATGTAAAACTAATCCTTCACTTTCTTAACAGTAATTTTCCAAAGCAGCCTCCTGGTTCTTTTTAGCTAGTTTCAATTCCTAGTTTATATTTGGCATTTCAAATGTTACTGACATGTACCATTGAATGTTGAGAGCTTGTCTGTGCATGGGTAAAAGAATATTCCTTTTTCACAGTATCATTTCAAAATCTCCTTTTTCCTGTGTTCAGTGAGCAAATATACAGATAATAGATTTTGTATGCAAAACTCTTCAGTTAATCAGGGATGTTCTTCTTTTTTTTGTTTTCCCTCAAAAAGAGCAATTGCTTAAAAGGTAATAGATCCTGTTTCAACCAGGTTGTGCCATGGTACAGTGGGGACCACTAGATGTCAGTGGTGAAACCAGCCTGGGGATAAACCAGTCAAACACACTTAAAAATGTGGGCAGAACGATCTATTTGGTGATCTATAATGGTGCTTCGACTGTTACTGTTTTTGACCTGTTTTATGTTCCTAACTGTCTGTTTCCTCAGCAGGCAGCTGTCCCGGATAAAGTAGCTCGGCAAGTTGGTCTTTATCACGATGAAGTTCTTCCCTGTCACTCTTATTTGCTGTAAGGCAGATCTTTGCTTTTTCTCCTAATGAAAACCTAGCACACCCTTTTTATTAGAGGGCACATCAACGGGCTCAAGAAGGGAGTCCTCTGCTTTAGCTCTTGTCATTAGCTCTTGGGACCTTCTGAGATCCTACAGCATTCTTGAGAAATCCCGCTGTAGAATGTGGGCAATTGCACTTCGAAGCCTTCAGAAGGTTTTCGTGAATAATGTGACAGATTTTCTGTATGTTTCTCAAAAGGTGTAACCATGTCATGCAGCCATCTATTTATTGGCTCCTTGAGCTGAGTGCTTTCCTGGGGCTGATTCCGTGAATAAGAAACCTGATTGTAATGTGTTTATCTTGGGAGTACTGGCTACATCTCAGAGACGGTTGCTTCTGAGCAGTCAAATGCATCAAAATGAATGCAAGATTTAAGAAAACTGCAGAATCCAGTCTGCATCTTGCCTAATACGTGACGAACCTCCGTCCACAGCTTAAGTGTGTTCTTCTTCTTGCAGCCAGTCTTCCTAGCCCCCCACATGCACACACAGTGAGTTGCAGGCTGTGTTTCCAGCTCTTCTGGGTGTCATCCTCTTCCTTCTCCAGCTTTTCTCTCATAATGAAGCCATATATAACCCAGTATGTTTGGGTTTCTTTATCAGTCTTGCCAATGTAACCTTGTGACTTTGGCTCTAAGTTCTTTTATGGTTATAGTGTGTATATTTGATGGAAAGTAGATTAGCTTCTCTTTTGTCTTTCCAGTTAATTTTTTTTAAATGCCAACCCTGCAAAACCAAGTATTCAAATGATATGTACAGACTTTTTTTATAAAAGGGGGAGGCATCTGTTACTGTAACAGTCTTCTCAGACTGAAGTTGACTTCAGTTTAGTTGGTTGGAACTGGCTAATTTTGAAGGAATTCGGGCTGGCAATGTTCACTGAAAAACATTAGTTTCATTTGTTCTTCGGTCCCTTACTAGAATGAGCATGTTTAGTAGCTTGATATTTTTCAGAAATTATTATAAGCATCAGTTGGCAAAAGAACTGCCAGTAAAACTGCAGTCTGTTGATTTGAAGTGTGACTTTCCTCTTAAACATGGACTTCTCTAACAGAACCTGCTGAGTTGTTGGCTGTCTGCATGAAGGTGCAGAGGGAGACACCAGAGGGCAGCAGATGCATTAAGAATGGGGAAAGTTTGGGTGATAAGTGAGATTTACAAAGAAAACTACATACGGAAAACTTTTTTTATTTTTAATAGCATCCGTTTATTTTGGTCTGAACAGGTCTGAGGAGGTCAGCAATAGTGTGCATTCCTTGCCTTTGCCTTATTCCAAAGCTTTTCAAAAAACCCGGTGGAACGATGCCTCAAAAGTATGTGCCTGTACACATGTTTTATATATAATGGAAACTGTTAGCTAATGTGCAAGGGAAGAGAGCTGCTCTCTCTTTCTCCCCATGCATCCACCTCACAAGTGTGAGTTTCAGTGAGGCCTGCTGGCTAGTGGCAGTTGGATGCATAGCAAGAAATAGTACCTGGTTTTCTAGCCATATAGTGCAAAGAAATAGCTACCCTCTTTGCTTTATGAAAAGAGGATGAGGGTATGAAAGGATAAATTCTGTGGCATGTGAGGAATGTATACAAACAACTGCTCAAACAAACTGGGGCCTCTTACTGTTTGTCCTTTCTAGACAAGCTTTGAGAAGCTTTATAGGTTTTGAGCAATAGAAATTTACAGCTAAACCAGCTTTTAAGGCAGTTTTCAGTTCTTTTTAATCCAGTCAGCAGTGGAGCCAGTTACTATATATTATTGCATAAGGATTAGGCATTTTAATCATAGCTGGGTGGTAAATGGTTAATGAAATTAGGTGCTCTGCCCAACATTACAAATTAAAGACAAAACCTTACTACTAAAACAGTTTGATTAACTTGGAATGTCATTATGAGGGTTAAAGATTTCAAAATA